TTTTTTTTTTTTTTTTTTAAGTTTAAAAACTCCTAGCCTTTCGTCCATTATGCTGAGAGCTTCAGCAGAGGACAGAAGCAAATAGCCAGTCTGATAGGTGGGCTAGTGGCAAAGTGTTTCCCATGAAGTGCTCCTGAGATGAAATTTGACCTCCTGTGCAGAGGACCAGCCCAAGGGCTTTGCCTTGTTGAAGGTACAAAGCACATTGCAGTGCTGGGCAGGGGATACCAAGCTGCTGAGTGAAGTGAAACTTGCTTAGTTAGAGCTGGCTTGGGTCATTCTGCACAGCAGTGCCCCATGCCATGTAGACATGTCCAGGGTTTGAATTACAGGGGAGTCCTGGTGGGCTGAGCTCCACATAAGAGATGAGAGCCCCCTCATAAGAAACTAAGAAGGTTAAGACGGCCGTGGCAGCTCCTTCCAGCTTCTGGCTGCCACCGCTGCAGACCCCCCCTCAAGAGTCGGAGTGTAATTTGAACCCTGGGCATACCTGTCCAGCCCATGTTGGTGGCTTGTGTCCCCGTGTCTTGTGATGGGTCTCTTCACAAGGGGACATTTCACCATTAAGAACTTCACCTGCTTCTTGTATTGATATAGTGGAATTTGCCCCATAGGGTAAATTGTCATAATGTATTGGTATAAATAAAGGCACGTGGGCTTGGGTAAATCTGCAGTGGGTATTAATAATGGCTGTTGAATAATTATCATCCAATCTAATGCTCCTGTCTTGGGTAGGGTATATCTCACAGCCAGGATATTTATGCTAGTGTAGTTGTAATAAGGAAGCAATAATTTTGTCTGTCATTTCTTGGCATCTGATACAACATGGTAAATTTGTATTTCTAATTTGAATTCAGTTTCACCTCTTATTACTGAGGAGACTGGCTACTTGTTTGTGTCTGCTGTATAAAAAAAACTCAGTGTAGTGGGAGAAACCAGAGGGAATGATTTAACTACTTTCAGCGAAAAGGGTGGGAACTCTGAACTCTCTCACTACTCTGGTTGCTCGAAACAATGTTCTGGAAATGAAAGGTCCACGTTTCAGGATGTACCCATTGAAGCGAGTGATCTGTTGGTTAGACCAATGCAAAATCCAAGCATGTTAGCTGCTTTCTTCCAAGCATTTCCAAGTACTTTCACTATAGCTGTTCTACTGACAAATTAAATGCTGGGAGAAAAATAACGTTCTCAATGCAAATGAAAAGACCTTCTCTGCAGAAGTCTGGCAAAACCTTGATCCAAACTTTGTTGATAAACCTCAACATTAAAGGCTAAATATCTGGAAGAGTTTTAATGGTTTGCTTTGCTGAAATGGTCTTGCATACCAAGGAGCCAGAAAGTTGAAAGAAAAAAGAAATGGTTTCTTCCACGTGTGTTATAATTGTGGGAGCTCTCTCCAGTGTCAAGGAATTAGGATGGAAAAAGTTTCAGCTCTTCTTGTAGACCCTTATTTTCTGGAAGAGGGGCAAAGGTATCCAAACATGAAGTCACCAGTGGCATTTACTGACTAGGGATGGTCAGAAATGTTATTCCCAATGTCGTGTTTATTATTTTTTTTAATGGAAAATTTTGGCTTTTCAGCTAAACTAGATTTCACAGAAAAGCATCTGATTTCCGTGGAAAATATTTTTGTCAAGAAAAAGCACCCCTCCCCCCAGTTTATATATTTTAATTTGGATGTGCTGATGCAGAATCCAATGGGAAATATACATGGAGCGCTTCAAGCTCCCTTTCTCTTCCATAGGCTTGGCTCTGTGGCCAAGCATCATTTCCTAATGATGCATCTCTTACCATCTTCAAGAGGAATTCCTAGGAAATAGTCTAACCGTGGCAACTACATTCTCCTTGCCTGAACTACAAACCCTTTGGGCGGGGCTTCCAAAATTCAGATTTTTTTTTTGGAATCCAGTTTTTTGCTGAATTCTCAGTAGTCCATGGAAAACCTTGAACTTGTTTTCTTTTTATTGAAATCTCTCCTGTCCCTACCCTCCTCCCTCCTGACGGTTCTACGTCTGACCAGTTCTAATTTACACATGATCAAACTTCGGGGCCTGATCCTGCAACCTTTTCATGTTTAATGCTGTTGATTTCAATGGGATTATTCTAAGTACTGCTTCTCATGAATTTGGGTGGCAGAATTGGGCCCTATATGATCAAGGACAGCCAAATTGGACTACTTTAACCATTTTGCATGTCTACTCCATTATAGAAATAAACTCCTAATTTTTGAGAATGGAAAGGGGTAATGTGTAGATCTGTAGAAACCATGGACATGTTGCTTCTTAAAGCAAGTTTGATAATTCAGGGGGCATCTGAAAAGTTCAGTCCCACAGTAACACTTTCTGATGGACACTTTAAAACATGTAGTTATAGGGAGAATGCTTTTGGAAAACCAATGTACTACCCTTATGCATTTTTTAAAAACAAGTCATCCTTAAAGCACAAATGATGTGGGTGAATTTGTGAGAACCAGAAATAATCTTAGAGCACGTAAAAATCTGACTCTCGTTGTAAATCTACACTTGTTTCTCTGAAATGAATAGAGTTCCTCCAGATTTACAGTAGTGCCTGAGATGAAACCGAGTGCTCAGTCTTCCAAACTTGATGCAATCCTTTTAATCATGAAGGTTTACTGACAGGGCCTCCTAATGATCCTATCCCTGTTCGTTGGAGTACTGCTGCCCTATTGTATATGTGAGAGGGCCTCAGTAGTTAGTGCTAGGGGGTTGCTTCTTGTTCATTAATTTTATGTTCTCTCACAGGCTGGAGGGGAGAAAATTTGTCAAGAACTTAATGTCTGATTCACAAATTTTAATTCTTCTCTCCTCTTGTTTGGGTGTTTGTCATATGCTACCTTATATTTGACACAGTCTGTAATTTTAATTTTTTTTCCTATATTATGTCAGGGACCAAGTCGAAACTTGCTGCTCAATGGGAAATCATACCCAACAAAAGTTCGATTAATTCGTGGTGGATCCATGCCTCCAGTGAAAAGGAGGAGGATGAACTGGATTGATGCTCCAGATGATGTGTTTTACATGGCCACTGAAGAAACCAGGTAGGAAAGAGGCTTCATTCAAGTGGCATTAATAAGGGGTAGCTGCCTCCATTCAACACTTTTTCGTTTCTATTTTGCATTTACCACCAATAGTGCTTTTCATGCATGCTGAAAGCATGTTTCATCATTTAGGCTGACTCTTCACCAGCCTGATGTTGTTTATTAAGAACCTGGGTGCACATTATAATTACAGTGAAATTAAGGTGTTAACCGTGCTGTAAACAGTAACACTTCTACTCATGCAGCCAATTTATGGCTCTATAAGGTGACAGACTAGCCACAAAGATATTCCACAAAATATATGGAAGATCTTTATGGCTCTTGTTATGGTGCTGTAAATTGAATGGGTAGCACCACTAGATCCAGGGCTGTCTTGGGGCTGAAGCCAACAATCAGCTAATTGTTGGTCCCAGCCCCAGGACAGCCATGGGTCTCCAACTGGATCTAGGGCTGTCAGTCAGCTAATTGTCAGTCCTGGCCCCGGGACTGCTAGTAGTCTTGATCTGGACCTGGGGCCCCTACTCAGCTGATTGTTGGCCCTGTTCTTGGACTGCCTCAGGTCTGGAACTGTTTAAGGGCTGGCGGCAGCCCCGGGTCTGGGACCAATCCGCACCCTGCCTGATCCACCGTGACACAATTGGGATCGGGGGTATTTTTGCATGGCTGGCATGGCAGGAGATGCAGTGTTTGGGATGGGGCCTAAAATTCCTCCAGTCCCAATCATGACATTTGCCAAGGCCTACAACTTGGACAGCTGCATTAGATGTTTGGATGATGTGGGCCTGTGGCTGACTGTATACTGTCCCATGGAGCTAGAGGAAGATTCCCCCTTTTGTTCTCCTGAGCCATGTTTTAGAACATAGGAAATGCCCCAGGGAAGGCTAAAACTTGGAATCCATCCATCCCAATCCCCAGGTCTATAGAAGTTTATGAAGTTTTATCTCTGCTCTCCAAGATCCTAGCCACCCAGCAATGTCCTGGCATGTGAGTACAGAGAGTATCATGTTTGCACTTGGGGGAGCAAAGCATATAAGGCTGCGATAGACCCCTCTTAGCTCTAGGGTAGTGCTTTGCCTTGCACTTGGTGCTACTCAGTATATCTGTCCCAGATGTGTACCACTGAAACCTTCATACTTTGGCATCCAAAATTACAATATAAGAACAGGAGCTGAATAACGAAGTTGAGTACAGAAGCTAGTGTGCATTGCACTCTTCGTGCATCTGCATTCAGTACACATGCTCAAACTCTTTTGACATTGTGTCCTTCTGAAGCTGCATTTGTTCTCTGAATGCTTTTGTGTCCCTGGTCTGAGAGCACAGAGGGACAGCTGGGCCTACGCTGCTCTTAATTCCTTCTTGCTCTTGAGACCAGTGAGAATGAAGTCCTGCAGTGTCTGCCTGCTTCTCTATATACTTCCCTAGTTAGCCTTCCTCATTTTTGTTATTGCCCACTGGCAAAAAATAGTAATAAAGTCTCAGTGTAGGCTATATCCCTCACCCCATACAGGGGCACCAGCAATATGATAGAAGCTAGACCTCTGGGCTAAGTACAGACATTTGGGGGCATTAGGGGGAGGTTACATTGGTTCAAAATGGTCTCCCAATATCAGGGAAGTTGGAATTGGAGGGGCAGGGGCTAACAGGGGAATTGTGGTGGGGGCAAGTAGGCTGGGGGAATCGGGTGCACCGGGGGAATGGGGGAGGGGCAGGCACAACCAGTGGGTGTGGGGGATAGTCATGACCTGCAAGGGGTGGGGGGTGAAGTAGGAGTGACCTGTGGGAGCGATCAGAATGAGGGGGCAGGTGTGATCCGTGGGGTGTTGCTGGGGTCTGGGAGAGTCTGGTGGAATCAGAAGGGTTTACAGCGTCCGTGGCGGGGTTTGGGGAAGACCAGGGGCTATTTTTAGCCTCCCCTGACTCCCTGCCCCCCTTCCTCCAGCAAATCTACACCCCCATCCCTCCTGCCCCTCTCCTCGCATCTTGCAGGATGGGTGTTGTGGGGGCTGTTTGGTCCAGTGGGGGACAAGGAGTTGGGGAGCAAAAAATAGGCTGGGGTAGGGCATGAGGGTGGGGTAGTGAAAAGCACAGTCCTGGGGCTGGTGGCTGGGTTTTCCCAGCCCTGGGGCTGTGCAGAGAAAGCATATAGAAGTTTCATGCACCTTTTTTGACCTAAATTGGGTACATTTTGATACTACATCAGTCCAGGTTTATCTTAAACAGTTCTGCAATTTTTAGACTGGTTTGTGTGCATGAGACTTCTGTACAGTTACACCTTTAGGTTGATTTCTGGTCACTGAAACCGGGTCTGTAAATATAAGGACAGCACTAGGATGAGCTAAGTTTAAATCAGGCAGCCATTTTGAACCCAGTTAAGCTCTCTGAATGTCTGTACTTAGCCCTGGGATTCAGTACCTAGCCTTCATGTGAAGCTCCGACATCTGTCAATGACGGGGACTCCTGGTGCCTCCTAAGTCTTGGAGACCAGTACATCCCTGAGCAATGCTCCATATGTAGCTGCTCCTCTACACATACTCAGAAAGCTTAGAGGAGCTGGGTTAGGCTGTTCCATCTTGAGAGCTTGATGCTTGAGAGCTTGACCTTGGATTAGAGAAGGTTGGAACTAAATCATAGTCCTCTGAGCAGTCTGGCAATGAGCCACTTATTCTACCCTGACTTCTCAGCCCACTTATCAGTCCCTGGTTGTTGCCACCATCTGTCATCAATGTCCATTGACAGGCAGAAGAGGACACTGCTTTAGTGAAAAGGCAGGGTGGAAGTACTTTTTCAGGTGTCTTTGGTACAGGCTGGCATGTTGGACAGAACAGAACCAGATGAGGTTCAGTGTAGAGAAATGCAAAGTGTTGCATCTGGGAAGGAAGAACCCCCAGCACACCTACAGGCTGGGCATCGTTAACCGGACCAGCACTACAAATGAAAGGGATCTGGGGGTAACAATAAACCCCAGCATGAATATGAGCCAGCAATGAGGTGCAGTAGCCCCTAGGGCCAATAAAACTCTGGCATGCATCAATCAATGCATCTCCAGTAAATCCAAAGAAGCGATTCTTCTACCACTTTACTCAACATTGGTGTGGCGCAGCTGGTGTATTGCATCTAGTTCTGGGCACCACACTTCAACAAAGATGTGCTAAAGCTTGAGAGGGTACAGAGAAGGGCCACCCGTATGATCAGGGACTTGCATGGCAAGCCATACAAGGAGAGGCAGAGGGATCTCAGACTCTTCAGCCTAAATACAAGAAGGCTGAGAGGGGACCTGATTGTGGCTTACCGCTATATCAGAGGCGTACATCAGGGGCTCAGTGAACAACTGTTCACCAGGGCGCCCAGGGGGAAAACTAGAAACAATGGCCACAAACTCCTGGAAGATAGTTTCAGGCTGAACATTGTGAAAAACTTCTTCACAACTAGGGTGTCCAGACTATGGAACAAGCTCCCCACAGAGGTGGTGCAGTCATGTACCCTAGAGAAGACCTGGATGGTCACCTGGCTGGGGTCACCTGACCCCAGATGACCCCTGGTCATGCAGGGGGCTGGACCTGATGATCCTTTGGCGTCCCTTCCAGCCCTTGTATTCTATTGTACCTATTAAATCTAGGACTGCTTTGGCACCAAGTGCCTTGGTACCTGGAGCCCTGGTATCTCCCACTGGTCATCTTGAAACCATGCTCAATTCGCAAACCATATGGCACTAGAAGGCTTAAATAGGGACAGCTTTTCCCTAGAGAGGTTGAGGGTGGGTAGTACTCGAGTTCCTAGTCAGTGACCGCATCTACGCAAGACACTACTGACCAGTCATTTAGTACTTGTATAAATGAGTACTAAATGACTGCACAGAAACCAGAATTACTGTGTAGTAGCATTGCGAAACAGCTTTTGGGTGATGTTGACTACACAGGAGTGCTCTGCTACTGCATAGTAGCATCACATCATGCTTCTTGCCACGTGATGCTACTGCACGGTAGTAACGAACTACTGAACAATCAGCATCTTGTGTAGATGTGTCCACTGATCCAGTAATAAATAGGTTAAGGAAATACCTCTGATACCTATCTCTCCCTCAGACTGTGCATTAACTATAGAATAGCCACTCCCCTGGAGGTGGTGTACTCCTGTGTCTTCCCCTTCTTAACACAGCACCTACCTACTCCTCCTTTGGGTAGCACAGTGGAAGTGAGGGAGAGCTGTATGAAAGAGAGCAGGAAAAAAAAGATGTCAAAGAGAACTATGTTTTTGACCCATGTGTCTTCCCTGTTCATACTTGCATCCAGTACTAACCATGGCCTTAGTGGTTATCCTGAGTACACAACTGTGTTCAATCAAATCTACCTGTAATATCTCTAGAGCTAGATCTTTCTTCCCAGGGAGACAATGTAGTCCATCCAGCTGGACCAGCTAGTGTACCCGTAGACTCTGAAAAGGCAGGAGGAAAAGACAGTAAACTTCAGCTGCAAGACCTATTCTTCCAGCAACAGGTCCCAAGTGTGATGATCTCCTTGTTTTCTGCTGATGGGATGGCCCTCCAGCCGAACTGAATGATTTTAAGGCATTCCACAACTCCATCAAATGCATGGCAGGGATGAGAGAGACCTCTCAAAGTGGTGCAAGAGAAATCTCATATTCCTGGACATCTTGCCCCTTTCCACACTTGGCTGGCTTGCTATGCCTAGGTGTGTGGAGTATTGGAACCCGCAGAAGACCTAAATAGTGCTTGGTATGGTTCATGATGCGTGCTGGAATCCATTCCAACCCCGTCCAAGTGAGCAGACAGCAAGTACAGGTCTACTTCACCGAATTTGAATTCTTCTGTTTTCACCCAGTACCAGATTGAATTGTGGCAGCTGCTGTCCAGAAAGGGTCCAAGCAATATTAAAATATTTTCCAGCTCTAAAATAATTTGGACTTTGTGCCAGCTTCATAAGAATCCACCCAGCAGCAGTATCTGCTTTTCTGTTCAGAGCCATGCCATGTAATTCCTATTCTACAGCTATAATGTTCCTCAAGGGCTGTGTTCATGCTTTCCCTCTGTATCCAGCATTAGAGAGATGGTTTTTGGAAAATTCTGTCTAATGGGGGGGGGGGGGGGGGGGGGAAAAAAA